CCAAATTTTTGTTTTCCCAGGAACCAATCCCCCTCTATAAAGATGTGTTTCCAGGATACATATAATTATGCTGGGTATAACATCTGTTGCTTTGCATGTTCAGAGCCTTACCAAACCAAGGTAAGAACACACTTCTACGTCGACTTTAGGGAGAATGGGTGAAGTATTAAAAGCTTAAATACTCAGATTTTTTTTAAAAGCAGTATTCATCAAAAGTAAAAGCTAATTCTAATTTAAATGTTTCCAAATAGAATTAACTCATTTCAGTCCCTATTTGGATAAATGTTAAGACAGTTATTATTTCATTTTTCAATATCATTACTTGATTAATTCTAAGAATTATCTTACTATGATTTCATATAGGAATCTTAGTGAACTTTTTACTTCAGTTAATCTTTCAGAAGCAGACTGTCTAACAACAACAAAAAAAGCAACTATAATCAAGGACATCAGAGAAAATAATCCTGGTGACCTCTTTTCTGTATTTCACCCTTTAATAACACAGTGGATTTATGTAACAGATAGGACAGTGTTGCACTTTTAAAATGTAGGTCAGCATTTTGATTGCACGGCAAAAGTGAATTGTACAGACTTAACAAAAGCAGAGCAATATTGACCCAAATCACTTCTGTGACTGGCCTTTTAAGGTTTCCCCAACAATCTGATAGTCCAAAGAACTTACGAATATACAAGATAATTATTTATTGGCAAGATATACCAGGAAGATACGGAGATAAGTGAACATTGATTTTGGTGCCAAACCCTGAAATAACCCCTTATCAAATGGGAGAATAATAAGACATGGTCATTTCTTACCAAATATTAGTACTCATAAACAAAAAACTGAAGCAATGAGTTCATCATGCTTTCAGAATACTTTAAAAGGAAGTAAACTCCCAACNACATAATCACTAGCTCTTGTTGTTTTCAAACTGATTGTTGTTGTTTTTCTCATTTTCACATTTTTCCACATTACCTTTCACGTTACTAAGTTTCCAGCAAATAAATGTTTCTATAAAGCACACAAAAAATCATTTTATCTCTCTGATAAAAGAAACACTTTTGAGACCTTATTTTGAAGCCCAGCTTTCTCAGATTTTCGAGTTACTGCTTTAATTCAGCTGAGCTCAGAGTTGTGGCAGGAATACTACTTTGTAAAAACATGAAATTGTGTAACCTGAGGTAGCAATTCTATGAAACAGAGACTGACAAACCATAATTAAGATTGGAAACATTTGTTTTATTTTTGAAAGTATTTAAAACGTAATATTCTAATGTTAAGTAAACAAGTAAAATCCTTGCCCTGAAATTTGATTAGGGGGTACAGGAAATGAAATAGCATGAAGACAGGATAAAATAGTTCTTTTGTCCACTGTGAAAAAAAAAAACTGTTTCCGACTAGCCTTGACCAATGATTTTCTATCAGATAATGGTTTCTTCCTTTCCAAAGACAGGACCTGTACTGAGGTGACCGCGCACCTCTCATCATTGTGTGCCCTGAAGCTAGGGAAGGGGCTTGGCCTGTGTTTCTCATGTGGCTCTTCTCATTAGAAATTCATGAGGACTGCGGAAGTTCCTGCTGTAACATACAACACTCCTCCACACACACCAGGAGACTGACCCGATTGATCATTCAAACCTCACTCAGACTTATTTAATTTATTAAGATATCCTAACACTTAAAGTCTACAAAAACAGGTATTTTCTTTACAGAGTTGATGCTTCTTAGAGATCACATAATACAAATGACTCATTTTGCAGGTTAAAAAAACTAACTCAGAGGAGTTAAATGACTTGCTCAAAGTCAGTGTCACCCCTGCGGGTGCAGAGACAGACCTCAGGTCCTTTGGTGCCCACACCTGAAACCTTGCCCACACCACAGATGGGAGCATATTATAGACAGCTGGAGCAGGAATCCAGAAAAGACCCTATAGTGCTTTGCATATTTCAAGGTGCTTTCCATTAGTCAATGATGAAGCTCCCAGTGTGAAATAGAGTCTGACTCGTGGGCACTTGGCATTCTTGTCACAGAGATGCCCAAATTGATCGTTTTTAAATGTACAAAAATATAAGCTTAATATAGTCTAATCCTACCCATTACTAACTCTCAGTAGTTTTTCCTTTATGAGAAATAGATATAAATATTATAACCCAGTCACACAGTACAGTATCAGATCCCACTTTGGCAATGCACAGAAATGCTTGTAACTTCTGCTTCACTGTAACATTTCAAATAGAAGCTTACCACTTGGTACACACATGCTCCTAGAAGTTTGTTCTTGGTTGAGATTTAGAACAATGACAACAGGCAATCAGTGATGCTTTGAAATTATCTCTGAAAATACCTGATTCAGTAACAGCACAAGCTAAAGGCTAAATTACAAAATAGGCAAATTGGTCTGTATAGCTTCTGCCCATGTTCCCTTTCTGAGCTCTCCTCAATTTTTGTCACTTTATGCCCAGTCGCAGGCACCATGTTGGGGGCCACCCACACTGTGGCATGACTCTTGATTGGCTCTCCCTGGAAGGGTCCCATGACTCAGACTTGTCTGAACTTTCTCATCTGGTCCTAAAGAACTCACCTGATCCCTCTCCCATTTCTTCAGGATTTTGCTCTTTCCTAGTTCACAGACAGCTAACTTGGTAATTCATTTTTATATTAACATGAATAAACTCATGTATGATTCCACAAGTAAAACAGCCATAATTTGAGATTCCAATAGAAAGATCCTTTATTACCACTGTAGGTAATAAAGATGTTTTCTGGACAGGTGATGCCCTTTTATGTACACAGTTTACATTACAGTGGTGGCATCCTGGTTCAACCTATGCTCTGGTCGGTGCTCTCTACCGTGCAGATGAGCAAGACGGAACCTTCGGGCCATCACACTAACAATGGCAAGTGGGCCAATATTCGCCTAAGAGGTTTTTTTTTAAAGAGTGATGATGCTTTAACAAAAGGGGAGCAGATACTCTCTCCTAAGCAATGTCACTCTTAAGTAGCAGTATAGTAATCATATTACAATGCAATAGGCAAAACTAAAGTTAATGAGATCAGTTAAATTTATTCATTTAACAAATACAGATTGTTTATATGCAAGGCACTCTTCAAGGTGCTGACGGTAAACAAAACAGATGTTCTGAGCATCTTCCCTTTACCCCATCCAGATCTAGTCTCCATCCGTCTCCCCCGGCTCTAAGCCTCCATCAAGTGGTACCGATGGGCTCCAGCTTCTAGTTGACTTTGGACTATTGTAAGGGCCAGAAAAGAGGGAGCTTGAGTACTGAGTCCCCATCTCCATCCCAGTGGGATTAGTGGGGGAAATCAGCCAAGCTGGGGTAAAGGTCACAGAGCCTGTCGAGTGACCCTCTCTCTACTGTGTTTCTGAACCCAGGCTCAGGCAATCCTTCCCCTGTGGGGGCTAAGAATGGAATCACCTACCCCTCTATTTCTAGCCCCAACAGTATTTCACTATCCCTACATCCTGCTTAAACCTTTATAAACACTGCCTTTTAAGGATTTCTTATCAAGTTATCCTAATATGAGTATGCCATTGATTTACTATCAGGGGTAATGGTGAAGACAGACAATAAATATGATATAGTGTATTAAAAGATACACACCATGGAATAATATAAGGCAGTAAAGGGAGCTAGAAAGTGTGCAGGAGAAAGGAATTTTAAAGAAGTCATGAGGGACAGTCTTACTGAGAAGGTAACGTTTAAGCACAGGCTCAAGGGAGGTGATGAAGTAGGCCAAGATTATAATGGCCTGAGCTAGCTAGCAATTGGCTGGATGGTGAAGAAATGTAGCAAATATAGTGGACAGGACTGGCGGGAGATTAGAAATAGTAAGCGAAAGACAGTGAACCTGAATCCTGGCATAGATAACATTGCANATCCATGTATCATCATTTAAAAAGCGTGTTTCCTCAGCTTCTGTTGTTCTTAACCTATTTCTGTGTTTTTGCCTTTCCCAAATCTAAAATAAGTTCCTGAGCGTACATTATTTTCTGTGTTATCATCCATAAACTTGGAGAGGCATGATTAAAATTCAGTGGTTAAGAGAATTATTTATTTAATCTGGAAATATATATTATCCTAAGACACTACTAGATTTATTTTCATATATAGGGATCAGGGAAACAAAGGAAAGAAATCCAATTATTTAAAACAGTAATCCCTTAACACTGGGATTTTGTTTTAATTATAAAGAGTGTGTCTTGTTAAAAACAAATCAAAGCCTTGTCCTTTAGGGGAGAAGCCCCATGTTTCTCTAGTAAACATGCATAGGATTTCCTAAAGAGTATTTCAACCAATGAATTTTGCTATTCTTCATGATAAAATGGACTTCTTAAAAAGAGCATCAGCAAACAACTATGGGCCCACCTGTTTATGATCTCGTACTGGACACCAGACACAGTAAATGGAAATACATTTCATCCTGTTCCCCACCTCCACCCCACAGTGATAGCACAAAAATTCCCTCTACTGGAAAGTAACAACAACAAAGTGTTAGAATAAGTCCTAAAATGAAAACTGCTGAATAGTCTTTATAGTTCAAATATGACTCCAGATATACCCAGTACCTGAAAACCCTTTTCTATGAACACCCTTCCCATCCCTGTGTTTTCCCCAGTGCCTAGAATAGGATATGGGGAAACAGAGGGGCGGGAAGCTATGGCTGAAAGCAAATGGCCTCTCTACGAGAGGCAAGAAAAGTCACTGGAGACTTCCCTTAGTTGGTCCTACTCCCATCATACACAGAGGGGGAAACTAAACCACAATTTGAGGGAATTACATTCCCCATTGGGTCCAACAACTAGTGCACTTAAATGGTTGAATGTGGAGCCCAGAAGGCTGAGGGAAATCCTTCTTTCTCAAGGGACAGTGAAGCCCTTGGCTCCTCCTATTTCAGGCCTAAAGGTAAGCTACTTAGGCTCTCAACACAGCCTTGCTTGGGGTTTTATCACTGAAGACAAAGCTTTCAGTAATCCTGTCACCCCTCACAGAATTGAGTTTTGGCGTGGAAAGCACAGACTTCACTGAGGCCAAAGCTGAATCACAGCAGATCCAGCATCCTAAGGTAACTGGCAAGGGCCCCAGCTCTGTTTCAGCCAAGTGATGGCAAGCAGGAGACAGAAGGTTGTCCTAATGACATAAGTCACCCAAGGGACTGAGGGAGACTAAGAGCAAGGGCAACTGAATGAGCACAGAGATGTAAATGATGACATGATTAGAGTCTGAAGGAGTCCAACAGCTGATGCATAGGAAGGAGATGAGTAGGAAATCGAAGTAAGATGTTCTAGTTATCTTCACAACACAGGCATACACTGTGATTAAGGACTATAACTCTTATGTATATTTACTTTATTGGGTTTAGGTTTGGTATCAAATGCCTAGGCCATAAAAATTTTATAGCAAATGTCCTCTAATAAAATAAAGCAAGTTGGAAAAAATCTATTTATACATTTTCCACTAGAAAACATGGACAAATATTACTATTCAAAGAAAGTTGTTTTTTTCATTGTGTTGATGTTTCAGGTTTAATCATCACACATATACGCTCATATTGTTTTCTTTGAATAAATAGCTATGTCTTTCAAAATAACTAGAGAAAACAAAGAGGAAAGCAGAAAAGAAAATGCCAAAGAAAATCTGTGATCATTGCTTCTTAGTCAAGGTCATACCAAAGTAAAAGAAGGGATCCCACCTATAATATATTCAACAGCTTATGCCCTCTAGAAGTTTTCCCAGTCTCCTCTAGCAGAGATTACAACTTTACAGAAACTTTACTTCTTTTTCCCTTGTCCGCCCTTACATACCCAAAGATACTAAGAAAGATTAGCAATAAGCACAGGATAGGAACTGACCAATAATACACCACAACTACTACACGCATTTGTAAAATTCAATGAGTAATTTCAGAACCATTAGAAAGCAATTTTGGACCTAACATTTTGGATCCTAAAGGATCCATTAAAGGGGCACTTTTCTATTTTAAAGTATCAATGACTGAAAAATTAAAATCACAATCATGAAAAGATATTTTTAAAATAATGTGCACAGGCAGCTTCAATTCTGAATTATGTCATAAAGCTGACTCAAAATGCTGTTAATATCAATAGCATAAAAACCAGACAGTGAGCCTACTCT